AACCAATAATGTTATTTCAAAAGACCATTTCTAAAATGTTGCATTGAGAATCTGTGGCTGCTTTGAAAATACTGGGTGACAGGCTGAGGGTGTAGCTCAGCAATGGAGCACTTGCCTGGCATGTGGCAAGGTCCTAGGTTCCATCTCCAGCAGTGGGAAAAAAAAAAAGTCCCTCCTTGGGCCTGGGTGGGTTGCCATGGGCTGCCTAGGTGATGGTAGTGGTGGCATAATCATGTGTCCTGTGCTAATGGCCAAAATGAAACCCTTATCAGAATGGCACTTAGGGCCTGGAGGCATGGCATTTATCTCTGAGGAGGTGGCATTCCTGATCAAAAGTTAAGGAAGACGAAGCAGCTCTGCAGAGTACCATAGTAAAGTTCTTGGGATCAGACAGCCAGCATCTGACAGTTCTTTTCTCACACAGATGGAGTGAAAAATGTCATGTTTTCTGTTTGCTTCATGCAGATGTGTGAGTCTAAGCAGCAAACGTCTGTAGGTGAACTTGCTGAAGCAAAGGGAGCTAGTGGGCTGTGGTGGTACGGGGGCCACTCAGCAACCATGGCCGGGGTTGCAGTGATCCAAGGGTCTTCAGAGTAAAAGGAAGCAGTCTGTGGGATGTGGACTCATGAATGAAGCTGTCTCAACCAGTGGAGAGCGGCAAATGGAAAATTCAAAGGATGGTTTCGTGGGGCAGGAGGTGGGAGGTGGCCCCGGGAAAGAGGCACCTGAATAGATGCAAGGCACTGGTGACTTTCTTCTTTAGTTGGGTGATGGCTTCTTGGAAAAAAAAAATATTGAGATAGAATTCACTGACCATATACCTTTTAAAATGTGTAATTCAGTGGATTTTAGCATATTCACAGTTGTGTGAACAGCATCACAATCCACTTGTATAACATTTTCATCCTCCAAAAAGGAAACCCCAGACCCATTTCCAGGCACTCCCCATTTCCCCCAAACCTCCTCCCCAGCCATAGGCAACCACTTTTACTTTCTTTCACTATGGATTCACCAAATCTGGGTATTTCGAAGCACCACTCCTACAGTAGTGGTGTTGGGGAGACTGGTTTCTTTCACTTAGCAGCATAATCTCTCATAACGCATATTTTCAAGATTTGTTTATGTTGCAGCAGGTATATGTGGTTCATTCCTTTTTATGGCAGAATAATGCCCCACTGCACAGATGGGCCACCTCTCATTTCTCATTTGTCAGTTGATAGACATTTGGGTTGTTTCCATTGCACAGCATTATGACAATGCTGCTATGAATATGAATATTCGTGTCCAAATTTTCATGTGAACATAAGCTTTTGTTTCTCCCAGGCATGTACCAGGAGAGGGATTCCAGGGTCCCGCAGGGGCTCCATGTTTCATCTGGGGAACATCTAGACTGGTTTCCACAGCAGCCGTGCTGGGTTATGCTTTTAGCAGAAGCACATCAGCATTCCCATTTCTTCTCATGCTTGCCCATGCCTGTCTTTTTGATTTTAGCCATCCTGGTGGATACGAAGTGGCATCTCGATGTGGTTTTAATTTGCATTTCCCTAGTGGCTAATGACAAGTGAGCATCTTTCCATGTGCCTCTTGACCATTCATATGTCTTCTTGGAGAAATGTCTATTCAGATCATTTACCCACTTTCTCATTGGTTTTGTCCATCTTTTTTTTTTTTTAATTGTGTTAGAAGAGTTCTTGGTGTTTACTGGCTACAAGTCCCTTGCTTGTCACATACCTGATCTACACATATGTCTCCCTTTCTGTGGGTTGTCATTTTGGTTTCTTGATGGTGTCCTAGGAAGCAAAAATATTTTTATTTTTGGTAGACTTCAATTTTCTCTCCATTTTTCTTTGGTTGTTTTGTGCTTTGGTGTCACATCTGTGAATTCTGACTAAACCAAAGATTCACCCTGATGTTTTCTTTAGGATTTCATAGTCTGGGCTTATACATTTAGACCTGACGAACTTAGAGCTCATTTCTGTGTGTGGTCATCGTGTTGTCTCAGCACCATTTGTAGAAAAGACTATTTTTGCCTATTGAATTGACATGCTACCCTTGTCAAAAATCAATTGATAATGAAGGTGAGGGTTTATTTCTGGACTCCTAATTCCATTTCATTGAACCTCATGTCTGTCTGTCATGCTGTGTCTTGATTTCTGAAGCTTTGTCATAAGTTTCAAAATTGGGAAGTATGAGTCCTTCAGCTTTGTTCTTTTTCAAGGTTGTTTTTGACTATACTTGGTCCCTTGCAATTTGAATTTTAGGATCAGCTTGCCAATTTCTGTGGGGGAGGGAGCCAGATGGCAGTTTGATAGAGATTCTGCTGAATGCATAAATCAATTTGTAGAGTCTTGTCACCTTAACAGTATTAAATCTTCTAAGCCCTGAATACGGGAGGTCTTTCCCCTTCTTTAGGTTTTCTTTAACTTCTTTCAATAATATTCTGGAGTTTTTCAGAGCACAAGTGCATTGTTTCTTTTGTTGAATTTATTCCTATTTATTCTTTTGGATGTTATTATAAATGGTGTTGTTTTCTTCCATTTTTCTGGTGTTTGTTGCTAGTATGTAGAAAAACACATGATTTTCACATATTGACCTCATACCCTGTAAAGTTGTTGAACTTAGTTAACAGTTCTGGTAGATTCTAGTGGGTTCCTTAGAATTTTTTATGTACAAGATCATGTCAGCTGCATAGAAATAGCTTTACTTCTTCCTTTCAAATCTGGTATTTTTGTCTCTTTTCTCCTGCCCCGCCTTCCAGGTAATTTCCTTGGCTAGAACCTTCAGTAAAGTGTTGAGTAAAAGTGTTGAGAGTAGGTATCTTTCTCTTGTCTTGGCCTAGGGAGACAGTTTAGCTGTGAGGTTTTCACACTTGTCCATTACCAGCTTAGGAATTGTCCTGAGCCTTGTGTGTGGAATGTTTCTATGATGTGAAGCATTAGAGTTTTTGTCAAATGCTCTTTCCTGCACTTAATGAAAACATAATATGGGGTTTTTTTTTGTCCTTTATTCTATTAATAATCGTGTTTAACATTACTTTGGGATTCAAATCTTAAACCAATTTTGCATTCTTGGGATAAACCCCACGTGGTCCTGGTGCATAGTTGTTTTTGTATGTTGCTAGGTTCGGTGTGCTTGTGTTCTATTGAGAATGTTTGCATCTAAAATCATAAGAGATTTTGGTCTATGGTTTTCTTTTCTTGTGAAGTGTTTGCTCTATGTTTGGTTTCAGGGTAATACTGTCCATTATGGAATGAATTGGAAAGTAGTCTCTTTTATTTTGGGGGAGAATTTGTAGAAAAGTTGATATTTGTCTATAAATATTTGGTGGAAACCAGTGAAGCTATCTGGCCCTTGACTTTTCTTTGTGGAGAATTCAAAAATTAATGCAGTCTCTTGCTGTAGGTCTATTCAATGGTACGGTTTCTTCTTGAGTAAGTTTTGGTCATTTGTATTTTTCTAGGCCTTTATTCATTTCATCTCAGTTCTCTAATTTGTTAACACCTGATTGTCCATCCTGTTCCCTTAGGCTTATTTTTATTTCTGTAGAATCAGTAATGATGTCATCTCCTTCAATCCTTTTCTCTTTTTTCTTGGTTAATTCGGCTAATATTTGTCAATTTTATCGACCCTTTCTATGACTAATAGGTGTTTGTTCTAAAAAATCACACCATGTAAGTTATACATATGTTACATATAATCTGTTGTATACATAAAATATCACACAGTAAAATTATAAAATTGATGAAAAGGGAATTATGGAGCAATTATTTGTCTTAAATTTACTAGGGATGGGGTCCTATCGTTGAGCTCCCTACTGAATTATTGGCTTATTCAACTAAACTCATTTCCA